GGGGGGGGGGGGGGGGGTGCCAAAAACTGGCGCTGCCACGTTGACTGTATAAACGGGCAGAACAGTTCGCCTCAATTATTGTTGCCAGCAGTCCGGAGGACAGCTGTAGCACAGCTGTTCACGACTCAAATCAGACGGGGCTAGTCGATCGCAGCGATCTCAATAATAGGGGCTTTGCATCAAGAGGCGAAGCACCAACCTCATTAGCACGGTTCACAAGGGAGCACGCATCGATCAACACTGCGTGTATCGTGAGGACACGTCGAAGAAGTAACGGCACTTGCGCATTTTTTGCAGATGTGCATCGCACAACCATGACGCCCCCGGTCCGCATTCCTCTCCAAGAGTAACTTGTGTAAAGACATCCCGCCCCATGAACCGTTGGACAGACAAGGAGAGAGACCACAACCGCACCTTACGCTTTGGCGTGTCCCAGTTACTCATATTGATGCCTGTGTTTGATGTACAACATATCCACTGAGCTAAACAGTCAGCGCTGACTGTTAAGCTCAGTGGATATGTCGTATATCTAACAGCCTGCACCTCAGAAGAGCTGTTCAAAACAGTCAAGCGTAGACAAACAGAACAACAGCTATTGATTCGGCGCAGTTATGCATACAACCGGCGATGGACGATCGGCTGATCAATGCAATCCCCGCCCCAGACGAAAAACGACCACGCCCAACTCACAACATCTCCCCGTCGTATCAAACATTAAGAGTAAGCTTCTCGTTCAGTTCACAACCTCCCCGCTGGATGTACTAATGCTACTTTGGAGGTGGCACAGACACTTGAGCGGCAAGACCTCGCCCTTCCACCAGGGCTTACACACCACGGCCATTCAAGCATGCCTCCGTGTGTGCCAAATCTGTTAAACCTGATGGATACATAGCCCGGCAACGGCGGCAACGGCACATCGCTGGGGACAGCGCGACAAACACACTTTGGTTCTCCCGGAAAGAGAGCAAAAATAACGAAGCTATCTATACACGCCGACTACTTTCAACAATAAGACACGTACCAGAAAGCAGACATGGATACAGGTTGGCGTAGGCATTAGACCCGGCTCTACACTTCGGTAGGACTGGAGCGCTGTATGACCATGTCAAAGCCTCGTCTTCACCCCTTTCTTCCCGCGCCGCTCTCGGCCTCTCGCCGAGTTGGGGTTCTTGCGGCCGTAGCCCACCACTATGTCCGCCGACTTGGAGACGGTGAGCCCCACGTTGCCGGTGATGTCCTCTCCGAACATGGAGCTGACGTCTTTCTCCTTTCGGCGAGCCTGCGGGGGTTCCGTGTTTGCGGGAGAGAAGATGGAGGGGTGGTTAGGTCACATCGGCCGCGTTAAGCCGAAAGAAGGTGCGACACAAACACGATTTCCGTCTTCGATCTCCACTTCGACAAACATGCCATTGGTTGATTGTATATTTTAACAAGCGAGTGTGTATGTACGCTGTATGTGGTACGAACCAATATTTCATCCGAGTATCCTTTTGATGTACTCCACGTCACGCTCATGATGAATTGGTGCTGGCCTCGATTCGTCATCAATTTCTCTTCGGCCCGGCAACCTACGCTAGCCGCGAAAATACTCCTACTAGATGGCGCCTCATTCTTGACAAATACGGAAAGAAGTGAGTCGGTGCTTGCTGAAAGCAGGAGCGCCAAAACACGGGGCCAAACATCCCTTCAGAAAGAACAGCCCCACCTCCTCAACGACCCCTCGCTTTCCACCTCGGCCACAACGGCAGCCCGAAAAGTGCCCAACCCCCCCACCTCGCTTCAGACACGCACGACGAAGCGTCAACGAAACAAATGCCCGACACACGAGACCGACCGACCCACGGCACACACAGACAAGGACACCGAAGAGTAAGTAACACACACGCGAGCACGCCCACCTTCTGCGCCCAGATGCCGGACAGTAGCTGGTCTTCCCGCAGCAGGAGGTCCCCCTCGAACCTCCCCTTCGCCGGGTTCGCCGCCGGGATCGAGAACTTGCTCCCGCGGAGGTTAACCTTGTGGTTCTTGCGAAGGTGCACCCGCGTCGCTCCGCTGTTGGCATTGACGGAGCACGAGACGCGGTCGAGGGTGGCGTTGCCACACACGGGGCAGAAGAGCCGGCCCATCTCGGTGCAGGTCTTGAAGCACGCGGCGCAGCGCAGGATCCACTGCTTGACGCGGTGGACGGCCATGCCGTCGAGGGACAGGAGAGGCAGGCCCACCTAAACATACAAAATCAGTCGGTGTAGAGTAGAGTGAGGTAGGATAGTTTGAGGATGACGATCGTTGACGCCGAGGATCGTTGGCATCGAGGATCTTTTGAGAGCAACGCATCGCCAGGCTCGTTGAGCAACGTTGAGGGTTCTCGTGGCCGTTCGAATCTAAAATCTGAGCTGGGTTTCGATTGGCGTGGTAACGGGGGGCTGTTCACGCGGGTGTAAGCCCAACGCGGGGCCTGTTTAAGCAAAATGACGCACGGTAAACTTCCGCGATGACGGTGAACGTCGAGGCCTTTTTTCGGAGTCGACAATGAACAGCAGTATCTTGAAGCCAGGACCAAAAGCAGAAAGAGACCCTCACACAAACGGGTACGGCAGACAAGAACGTCCCGCACAACAAATAAAAGTAATCGTCGCTCTTCGCTGTCAAGTACACAACGCCCTCGCCATCCCATCACAAAAAATAGCCTTGAGTGACACAAAACCACATGGCACCGGCCGAAATACACGAAAGTACCCGGGAACAGAGCCCTGCTACCAACAAAAACACGACGCACCTGGAGGATGACGTTCTGCATGGCGAAGTCCGTCGTCACGCACCCCGCCCGGCACTGGCTCGCCACCTTCGACCTGCCCTTGTGGATTCCCTTCCTCTGAGTCTGCGAGGGGCCGTTGAGGCCGATGCCAGCCGCCTTCTGGCTCTTGATGTTGGACGGGTTGACCCACCCCTCCCCGTCGTCGTCGTCCGCCCCCCCCCCCC